GTCATCTCGTCAACGGAGTAGGGCACAGCGGCTCCTGGATCTTTCAGCATCTTGATGAACTGCTCTGTGTTCTGCTTGATCTGCTGCCAGAACTGGTGATCAGGCGCTTGCAAGAAGCTCTTGATGTCCTCTGGTCGCATGAGGCCAAAGACACTGCGCCTCAGGTCCTGCGATGCTGTTTCCAGCTTGGCCCTGCGGCACAAGTCTTCCAACTCATCATCTCCATTGGACCTCTCAGGCTCCTGCAAGAAGTCGTAGATCTTCTCGCAGGCTTGGCATACTTGGATCCCGATGGGCGTTTTGCGAGAGATGTCAATCAGACTGCGGTGGCTTGGGCTGGGAATGGACCTCGCTGGGCTTTCAGCTTTGGGGGTGTCAGCCTTGGCTTCTAAGAGTTCCGCCTGGAGGTCGAGCGCTCTCTCCCGGAGCTCGAGCGACACACCCACTTTCTTGGCCACAGCAATGGCTGCCTTCAGATCCGCAAGGTCCCTGGATGCCATTGCATCTTGCAACTTCTTCTCCGCCTTCCAGCACGAGCAGTGCAAGCCGGCACCAGGCCAACCGAATTCAACAAACATGTGACGCCTTGAACCTGTATCAAACATGTGGCAGTGAGCTAGGATGCCCTCCACTTCCACTTGTCTCAAAACTTGTAGAGGTTACAGGTCAGCAAAGATGTTGTTACACACTTTCCGTCCTCTGCCACTTCTCCGGTCTGCTTTGTCTTTGCAGCATCCGGCTCCGCCTTGGATGCATCGCTTGAGCTGCTCGAAAGTCCCAAGCGCAACATTCTCTATCACTGCACCTCTCTTGCTGCCAAACATGCTGCAAATTCGCATTGTGATGCAGCTCTCGTCGCAGCCAGAAAACCCTACACTGAGTTGCAAGACTGTGTTCTGCAGCGGCGCCAAAACCCATCGCCTTCTCGCATAATTACACCGATTCCCCGGGCTTTAAGCCTCTTGAGACTCTCCATCAAATTTCAAAGGTCCCCATTTCACTCTGGCTCCCTGTAAGCCTTGTTTCGCGCCAACTGCGTTTATACTTTGGTGATTTCTTATACCGAGCACTGACTTGGTACTTTAAGCACTTACGAAGGCCGGACCAACCTCTTGAGAATACTCGCGGTATCACGTATCTTGAACTTTGTATGAATTTCGAGATTAGCACGGGGAATTTCCTTCCGGGTTCTGAGTAACGGTTTCAAACTTCCAAAGGTGATCGTCAACGCCGTGGTGCCTCTTTTCACATTCGCTCTGCGTTGGACCAAGGGGTCACTCTGCAGAAAGACTTACAGGGTCTCTCGAGCGTCTTGGCCTCTGCCCTGAACCGAGGTGACGGTGTGGGCCCCCGGAGCAGGGTTGTGTCAAGCTCTCAAAGCGTCTTGGCCTCTGCCCTGAGCAGTGAAAGATAGTGAAAGTCTGTGCCCCGGTGCGGGGTGAGCCACACTGGCGACTCGTGTGCTGTCAGGGCGTTGCTGCAGAAGCAGAGCACCCTGCCGCTCCCCTTCCCTAAGGCAACGATCTCTGGGTTTTGGACGTGGATTTGGACATGAAGGCAGAAGAGGCGCACATGTTGCTGTCGAGCCTTGAGCTGTTCGGGACACAGAGGGT